TACCCTTCCTCCTTCCATTCATATTGACCTTCCTCCATTGCTCATCCACCTGATATAACCTCATATTTCTAGCTTTAAATTTACAGCAAAAGGTAAGTGACAGTTTTTTTTAGGTCTGGTTGTGGGGCTTGAAATCTGGGCCTGGGCGCTGTCCCTCAGCTCTTCAGCTCAAGGCTAGTGCTCTACCCCTGGAGCCACAGCACCACTTCTGGCTTTTTTCCTTTTGCTTATGTGGTGCTGAGGAATTGAACCCAGGGCCTCATGCATGCGAGGCCAGAGCTCTACCACTGAGCCACCTTCCCAACCCAGGTGACAGTTTTGATTTTGCTAAAAAATAAATGTTTCTGTAAAGAAATTTAAATTAACATGTTGAGTTCAACGCAATATTCCCATATTCCATCAGTGAAGAAATCAACCTACCCTTTCTTTACCCCATCCTCAAATCTTTATCTTACTTTTAGGATGATTTCTCATAGCTTTTACATATGAGAATGGACAAATAGTACTTGTCTTGTATCTGGCTATTTCACTAACATAATGATCTCTAGTTCCATTCATTTGGCAGCTGACCAATATTTTATTGTGTGTATATACCCCAATTTCTTTATCCATTCATCTGGTGATAGGCACCTAGGCTGATTTCATATAGCTACTGTAAATAGTGTAGCAATAAACATAGATATGCAGGTATTTGTGTCATATGTTGATTTTATATGTAGATATACCCAGAAGTGGGTCATTTGGTAGATCTACTTTTTTAGCTTTTGAAGAACTCCATACTGTTCCCCAGGATGGCTACATGAATTTACCTTCCCACCAAGAGCAAGAGCATATTCATTCCTTTTACTCTAGTCCTTACCAGCACTTGTTTACATTTTTTTTTTACAATATAATGGTGAGTCTTAGTTTATTTCCTATTTGTTTAAAATTTATATTAAAGCAGAGCAAGAATCTTTGATTATATTATAAAAATAAATAAAACATTTAATGATCTCCAGTAACTATTTAGTGTTTATGATTGTTGCTCATTTTATCTATCAACTTGGATAGAGCATGGCACCCAGATATTTGGTCCACTGCAGACTTGATGCCACTCTGAAGCTTACTTTTTGAATGAAGTTGCTATTTAAATTAGCAGACTCTGTATAAAGCAAATTGTTTCCTCTAAGGGGTAAAGTAGGTTGTTCTAATATTTTTCTTCTTTCACTTTCGTTTTTCTTTTCTCTTCCTAATATTTTATTTCTTTCACTTTCTTTTTCCTTTTCTTTTCTTCCCTTTCTCTTTCCCTCTCCCTCTCCCTCTTGCATTCTCTCCCTCTGAGAGATTCTGGATATGTAGCCCTGCTTGACCTGAAATTCATAATTTTCTGCCTCATTCTCCTCATTCTCCTGTGTGCTGGGATTAAAGATATGCACAACTACACCTGGATAATATTATTATATTATAAAAAGTATTTTGAAAGAATGTGCTCATACTTTTTAAATCTCCTAATGTGAATAATGAAACATATGGGATCTGAGTATAACTAAAGATGTAAAAGAAACAGGTAGAAAAATCCTTTTGTTAAATTATCTTCTGATAAACTATTGTTTTTACTTTATTGTTATTTTAATATATTTTAATATAATTAATTGATGAACAAATCCGTTTTTGTGCTTTGGTTTCAGGATGATGTAGAAATCTGTGTAGTCCAAGCTGTCCTCAAATTAATTATCTTCCTAACTCAGCCTCTCTGGAATTGGGATTGCAATTGTATGCCACTTTGCCTGGCTGTTTTCAAAATTTTTAATGATGTTATTTTTTTCACAGTAAACCTATTCATGTACAAATTATGGCTTTCCATTGTTTTACATACCTTCAGAGTCTTTTCCCCACTAGAAATGAAGGAGGTGTTTTAAAGAGTCACTAGATGTAAACTCAGTGGTTATCAGCCCTGAAATGTAATTTGCAAGGTGGTCTAAACCTCCCAATATTACGTACTGTTTTGGTGTTAATTTATAAGCAAGCTGTAAGATGAAAAGTGATACTTAGGAGAATGTATAATTCTGAATAGTGAGGGGATTTTTTTTTGGAGGCAGGATTTGGAGAATAAAAGTTTACTAAGTAAAGCTGGGCACCAGTGGCCTATGCTTGTGATTCTAGCTACTCAGAAGTCTTACATCTGAGGTAGTAAGTTTGAAGCCAGCCTGGGAAGAAAAGTTTGTGAGACTCTTAGGTCCATTTTTTCAACTGAAAAGATGAAAGTGGACCTATGGCTCAAATGGTAGAGCATTAGGCTTGAACAAAAAAGCTCAGGTACATTGCAGACACAGGCACACACAGTTACATGCACACACACATAATTAATACCTGTTCAAATATTACTGCAATCACATAATTTTTTGTTTGCTCATACTTCATTAAACATCAGAATTCTAAACCTTTTACTGACTAATATTATCAACTTTATAATACTGTTTCAAGCTTTAAGTCAATCAAGCCAGTAGCATCTCTGAAAGAATGAGTTTTCTATCTCAGGCCAGTATTGTATGATCATTTAAAAACCTATAGAAACAGATTTAGTGTATAATGATGCATGTTTTCTTGGATATAAAAAAGTACATCAATTTAATAGTGACTGAGTAAAAATATTCTCATGCATCCTGGAAACAGGTCTAGAATTGACTATGAAACTGTAATATAGCTCACTCTTTGTAGCTAGATCAGTAAAATATAGCACTTTATTGGTAAATCATTAATTTCCTGAAAATTCAACCCAAAAGAATAGTATTCTTTAGATTCCTTATCTTGAAGGAGGAGGATAACTCTTAGTCATAACACTTCTATTACCAAAAATATGGGACTCTTCACACTAGCAACAAAATTCTCCAACTCTTTGGAATCCTACCATTCAATTCATTTCTAACCTTGGCTACTTGGATATAGGGTTGTATTCTATGAGCGTAAGGGTCATCACACCAAACCATTTTTAAGTTGGACAGTAATTTCAAGTCCCAGGTTACCCCTGCTTCTCTGGCTATTAAACAGGATCTGTCAAGTTAGGTGGTGTTCTTAGAACTCAGGAAGACAATTGACTTTATTATGGAGGGTGTTAAAAAGAGTACAAATGGATAACCAGATGAAGAAAGGCACAGGGGTCTGGAAGACCCCTTGAACACAAGACCTTTGGTCTCTATGAAGTCTGGGATACACCATAACCCTGGCACTTGAAGTGTGATACAATCAGAAAAACTGTAAACTCCATTATTTGGGAGTTCTGATGGAGGTTCCATTATATAAACATGCTTGATTGCAGGATAGAATTTGGTGACTCTCTTCTATCAGGAAGTCTGGAGGTGGGACTGAAAGGTCCTATCTTCTAATCTATGACTAGTTTCCCTGGGGACAAGTCCCATTCAGAAGCTAGCTAAGAGGACCACCTGTGTCATGTTATCAGCCTAAGCTCCTGTGGTTGAAAAGGGCTCATTGTGACTCAGAAAAAACTTTCCAGTCTTGGAAAAAATTGTATTAAATGAAGTAAGCCAGAGCCAAAGAAATAGGTTACGTAGTTTCCCTCATTTGTGGTAACTAGAATGTGCTTAAAATCCTCAAGTAAACACACCGAATGATTAGAAAATACACAGAGACACACTGGGACATGATAAATTATATAGAAGTCTAGACATTCACCCTGAGGCCAAAGGAGTATATGCCTAGGAGTGGTTGACAAAGGTTCAATAACTATGTACATCTGACCATATAAAATGAACTGTGGAAAAGGAAAGGAGATAGTTTTTAGTTGACATTGTTGCTGTTTTTTTTTCTTTTCCTTTTATTGTTAGTTTGTATTGGGAAGGGGAAAAGAGGAACAGAAAAGGTAGAACAAGGATTAATAAATACAACAATGGTGCTCACCACATACTATGTGGGAAATGCTCTGTTCATCTTATGAGTGAGGAGGGAGAGAAAATTTGGGAGAAAACAAGGGAAAGGGAGACATGATTTAAAAACAATTGTACTCATTACCTGATCCACATAACTGTAACCCTTCTGTATGTCAACTCTACAATAACAATAAAAACAAAATTTAACTAGTTTGTAAGACTTGATCTTTTTAATTCTACCAATATTTACTTCACTATGTTATTAAAAATACTAAGGAAAATGAAAGATTCTTCATACAATTAAGCACCCTCAGTGACTAGTATTTACATAAACAGCTAACAAGATAATGTAACAATTAACATAGATATGTGTAGTATATAGATATGACAAACACGGAGATATATATTGTACATATATATATATAACAATTCATATTAAAAACTGTGTAACAAAGCTTTATAGTTAATGAAAAGTTAAACCAAAATATCTTCTCTTTCCTCTGTTCTGAAATTAGGGCATGGACATACTTGTTTTAGATTTCCACTTACCAGTGCTCAAGTGATATTGTAGTGACATTTTACCTAATCAGACCTCCAAATAAATCATCTATCCTACTAGAAGTGGCTAAGGAAGTCTGGGAAATGGTGATTCCTGCCTGTAATCTTAGCTACTCAGGAGGTTGAAATCTGAGGATCATGGTTTGAAGCCAGCCTGGGCAGAAAGTCGTGACAGTCTTATATCTCCAATTAAACAGCAGAAAACCAGAAGTGGTGCTGTGGTAGAGCTCTAGTCCCATGACTGATAAAAAAAATGGAAAAGAAAAAGAATTGAAGGCAGAAGTATAAGCAGTTATTTCTATACCCAAGTTCATAGTAGTAGTATTTACAATAAAAATATGGAAGTGGACAGATGCCCTGTAATCCTAGCTACTTAGGAGGCTGAGATCTGAGGAATTGTGTTGGAAGCCATTGTGGGTAGGAAAGTCTTCCAGACTCTTCTTTCCAACTAATCACCCAAACCAGGAAGTGAAGCTACCAGTGGTGGAGCAGGAACCTTTAGCAGAAAAGCTCAGGGACAGTATCCAGGGCCCAAGTTCAAACCCCATGACCAACAAAATTAAAAAGTGGCTAAGGTCTTTAGAGTTGTTCCTGTTTCTTCGCAAGACCACAGCAGTTGTCTGACACAACGTGCCAAAGGGCATTCTTCACATCCTTGTTCCTCAGGGTGTAAATCAGTGGGTTCAGCATCGGGGTGACTACAGTATAGAAAAGAGCTATGAACTTGCCCTGCTCATGAGAGTTGCTCTTGGCTGGCTGGAGGTACATGAAGATGATGCTCCCATAGAACAAGGATACTACTGCCATGTGGGAAGAGCAGGTGTTGAACGCCTTTCTTCGTCCTTCTCTGGACTTGATCTTCAACACAGCCTGAGCAATATGTCCATATGAGACCAGGATGAGACCCAGTGGCAAGACAACAAAGATAAAGCTGGCCACGTACATCTCCACCTCATTGAGGCTGGTGTCCACACAAGCCAGTTGCATAATGAGGGGCATCTCACAAATGAAGTGGTCGATGCGATTGTTCCCACACAGTGGTAAAAGCATGGTGAGTGTGGAGCCCACCATGCTGGTGGTGAGACCCCCTAGCCATGAGGCCAAGGCCAGGCCAATGCACAGCTGTGGGTGCATAATGACAGTGTAGTGGAGAGGCCTGCAGATGGCCGCATAGCGGTCATAGGACATGACAGCCAGGAGGACACACTCAGTGGCTCCCAGCCAGTGGGACACATAGAACTGGACCACACAGCCTCCATAGCTTATGGTTTTCTGGGGTCCCCAGAGGTTGACTAGGAGTTGTGGCACAATGCTGGTGGTGAAGCTAATGTCCAGGAAGGAGAGGTTGGCAAGGAAGAAGTACATGGGTGTGTGGAGACGTACATCCTTCCAGGAGACCAGAATGATGGTGCCATTGCCCAGGATAGCTACCGTGTAAAAGCAGGAGACCAATCCAAAGAGGACAGGTTCCAGTGAGGGCTGTGCAGAGAAGCCCAGGAGCACAAACTCTTGCGGAGAACTTTCATTGGTCATTTCCATCATCATACGTTGGGAGGGATGTGTGGATGTGAGGGGAGGTGCACTGGAGGTGAAACTTGACGTTATTGCCTCCATAATTATGTAGCTAGGAAAAATAAGTTGGATGCCCAAGTCTCTTGCAAAGATGACCAGCTTGGAATGAGTGTTAAAGGGCTGGGGAATTTGGGTAACCTGGGGGAGAGTGGACATTTATGTATTATTTTTAGCACTGACTTTTAAAATATTAAAATGGCACCATCAGGACTCAGATGACAAATTTAATATTTACTTATTTAGATAGATTGTGTAAGTGTTATAATTGGGTCCTGTCAAATCATACAATCATCAGCAGACTTTCACATTGTTATTAAATGTAATGTGCTCCATATATCCACATTTTCATGGCTTCTCTGCCCTGTCATTTTGCCACCTTTATTTCCTAAACTTTGAGCTCTAGTCTAATTTGTCTCTGTGCTTCCCTTTTGCTGCTTTCTTAGCATTCTCAAAAAATGAGTTGTGAGTTTACATGAAGACCTCATAGATCATATAGCTGTGCACGTCTAATACTTGTGCTCTCCTGGCTTACAGATGTTGTTCCCCTCTTATGTGTAGGGATTGTTCCCAAAGAGCCAAACGTTCACTTTCTCACTTGCTCGGGTCATTTAACAATTATTTTAACCCAAGCACTTCTTCATCATAATATAGAAACCCTTCCTGGCTCCTATTTGTATCTTCCCTGGGCCGTGTTCATTCACAATACTTCCTACTTCACTACAACGATATCACTTTCTTTATAGTGTATGTTAATTTATTGTGACATTTTTAATATGTGCATCTTATATTAGTGTTGTATTTTGTTGTTGCCTCTCACACTTCACTAGGTTTAGTTCTTTGGAATGAGATTTTTGTATGTATTCTCTTTTGCTTTTGGCTGCCCTCTCTGATAATATATGCTATGTAATCTGTTTAATGAATGTGCAATCATGAATGCTTTGTGAAATAGGTTGTAAGAATATCATGTGGCTGGAAGCAATAAGAGGGCAGAGGTGAAGGACATCCAGTGTAAACACATAATCCTGTTGAAAGGACAGTCATCTGGAAACTGCCAGAGTCTTGCAGAGCCTCTCTGATTTTATGTACAAATGGACCATCCTCTGCTCTTGTGCAATGGTGGACTTTCATTTACACTCATATACAGATGGACTGCCCTTTACTCTTATGCACAGATGGAATGAAAGAATCTATGATAATGTGGAATCTGAAGATCATATAGTGCTTTTGTTTTTTTGTGTTGTGAACAGTAAAGGCCTCATACATCCTTAGGCAAATGTTTTGCAACTAAACCACACACCTAGCTCAGAAGATCAATCCTATAGTCACAACTGAATAATGTGTTTCTGTAAAACTCAATGTCTCTTCTTTGCAAAATCATTAATTTATCCTATCATGTACTTTACAATGAAAAATCAATTTATTACAAGTATAATCATAATATATTATAATTATACAATATAATATAATTATATTATAAGTTATCCAATTTATTATATTATAATTATTAAAATTATCCAATTTATTATAATCATATTATAATTATTAAAATTATCCAATTTGTTATAATTATCCAGAGATGATATGAACTTTTCTTTCAGCTCTCTTAAAGACCTAAACAGTGAAATTTACCTCTTTCTGTAACTAGAAATTGATCAAACAAAATAAGCAGGAATATTATGTACATTTACAATACTTAAAATTTGTTATATATGGCATAAGTGGAACCTAAAAAGGATGGTATCAAACAAATCATAGGGCAGAATAATGGCGATTAGAAGCAGACAGAGTAGAATACAGGGAGGGTCACTGATCAATGAACAAATCCAGTGATAAGTTTCGGTATTCAATGGCATGGTGGGCGAGTATCATATAATAACAATAGTTCATCAAAATTATTGGAAGAGAGGTGTCTGAAGGTATTCTCCATAAAGCAATGTACATATGCTCATTATCCTGACTTGGTCTTGATCGTGAATCAATACATGATATTATCTCCTAAACATTTACTATAAAATTTGTGGAGGTCTTCCATTCTGAATTTGAAGTGGGCTTAGAGAACTTTTAATTATTTGTCAAAATTAAAAGAGGAAAGCTATATTAACATGGATCTTATTGCTTCAAAAAGCTGAGAAAATGGTGTGATTTCCACCTGGCAGGCCAGGCTAGCAGAGACTCTCCCAGGGAAAGAGCATCTAGGGAATGGCTCCTGTGCTGACAACGGGAAAGGCGACAGAATCCATCAGAACAAAGGAAGCTTCATAATACAGTTGTGGGACAAAAAGAAATGAATCTGGGTCCTTATCTGTAAATGAGTCATGCCAATGTGACTGTCTCATACCTAGTCACCACAGGTGACTAAGTGGCTACACTTAGTCACTGTCGTCTGTGGGTGGGTGTGCTAGCCATAGAGATAGGAACTAGGTTGACTCATAGCAAAATGGGAAGAAAATATGCAACGATTGGCCAGGAGGTCAGTCATGTAATAGTGGGTTAGTGTTTTTGAGAAAAAACCAGACCATTCAGACCTATTTCTAGAATTGTCCAGTGGCATATCCAAAGCTCTAGAGCTGCATCTTGAGATGTGCTAATTGTGACTACATCCCTAATGAAGGAAAAGGATTTCTCATCCACAAAGATTCACCAACACAGTCACAATAAAACTTTGACATGTGAACCTATTCCAAATATTGTGTGACTACCACAGAGAAAAATGACATGATGACACTTAATGAAAAAATATGAGCTCATACTTTATCTGAGCTCCTTATGTCATCACATACTGTACCCTACCATGTAAGAAATTGCTAAAATGCCAAAGACCACAGGATCATTTAACCAGATCAGTGTTCATTAATTGGAATTTCCAGAAAATCTGTAATCTCTAAATTTGGAAAACTAGACAAACAATCCTAAAATGTCACTTACCAGTGGTGAGGTAGCATCATCTCCCTTCAAGCAGGATGGAAATACTTTAAGACAGTCAGTATTTTACTTCAGTGATTGGTAACATTTATTGATTTGGTGTATGTAGTATTTAAAAACAGATCACCTAAGTGACTTAAAAACTGTACAAATATTGAAAACCTTCATGTTAGTGGCAACAAACCTGCTGTACTAGTTAGCTTAGTGCATGTCTAATGATGCATCCTTAAGTCATTCTAAGTCAGAATGTATTTGAATCATTATTTTTCCTTAGAAAATTAGTAGTTCGAGGAGAGAGAATGGGATGTGTGTGGTGGTTCATGTGTAATCCCAGCTACTCAAGAGAGATAGCCTGTACAGTTAGGGAGCAAATTAAAGGCAAAAAGATTGAGTTATAGTTCTACTGTTAGAGCACTTGCCTAGCAAGTGAGAGGCCTTGTATTCAATCCCTAGTACCACCCCATGGCCAACAAAAATAGGATAGCTCATGGCAATTCCAGAATAGAAATACAGACTGACCCACAAAGAACAAAGTGTTACAAAAATGCCTTTATAGTCATTAGTAATCTATTTTATTCTCTGGAGCACTCAGGAGGGGACAGGATGGTGGTGTATATCAGGGGAGTAAAAGTGGAAAGGAAGAAGCTTGGGATTTCTTTTCCCTGCTGGATAATTAGCAAGTATTTGTACTGTACTCACAGTTTCTTTTTATGAATAGAAGGTTATTTTAGATTTCTATACTGTCAAACACTTTGTAAGGCATGAGAATTAAATCTCTTTCAGCAAGGATTTATTGTACAGTGATGAAGCTAGTCTGGAATATTGGCGCATTATTCTAATTTTGGTATTCAGTGCTGTGGACTCTATTTAATCCAATTATTCTATCAATGGTGTACCCTTCAGTAATGGGCTAACATTTTTTTAATGGATAAGTTGTTTGTCATAAAACACACAGAACATATAAATTTATCACTGATATACACTTCAGTGAGAAACATATACATTTGTTAACAGGATATGATTATTTTTCTCTGGTAAAATACAGGCAACACATAACATTGTAACCATTTTAAAGTGTTTAGTCTGTGAAGCAAACTACATTTACAATATTATACAACCCTCATTTACTTCCTAGCTCCAAAAGGCTTGCAGCCCTTTATGGGTATAAAATATCTATACCTTTGAGACTTCATTTCCTGTTTTTCAAGTCTCCCAGGTCTGGCACACACTCATTTGTTTTCTGTTACTATAAATTTTCCTAATTTATATCTTATACAATGAAATAATACAATATTAGATTTTTGTGTTTTTTCTTTATGGTTTCAAGGTTCATATATGTTATAGCCTGTGTCAATATTTATTCTTTTTTACAGCTGAGATAATCCATTCTCTGACATTATAGTCAGTGTTTAAAGTTGTAGGGCAGAATGAAGATAGAAATTACAAATTAATTTTATTATTATTTTATTTTTCTATTTATCTCTTTAAAATTAATGAATGCATAGTTTCAATACAATACAGCAATTTAAGAGCACAATGAATCTTGATCAATGTCATTTTTCCCATTGTTCTCCATCTCTCCTAACCCCACTCAACCCCTCGAGTTACCTAGTTCCATTTTCATATGCGTATATTGAATATTTTCACTCTTTCTCTATATAATCTAGAACCACTTGTCTGTCTTTGGATTTCCTAGTCTGAGGGTTTAATCAACAAGAGGGACATCAGTAAGGGGCTCACAAGTTGGCCTTACACAACCTGTAGTCTAGAACCAGTACTCTTGAAAACAAGGTGTAATCTAAATAATTGTATGTTCAAATGATTTTATTATATCATCAAAATAACTGGTATTATATATTTTGCAACTGGATGTGAGTTATAAGGACAAAATGTTAGTAATTTTTCAATGCTAGAGACCAAATCCAGCATGCTAAGAAGTGCTCTGTCACTGAATTATATCCTTAGTCTTCAAAGTTACTATTGAGTATGTATTAAAACCATTTGTTATTGGCATGTTACTGTGTATTAACTAGTGAAACTAAAGCAAG